AGATCTCCAAACCAAAACACTAACTAGGTCTCCTGAGGCAGTGTGGGCCTGCTGGTTGGAACCATCAGTTCAATTATAGCCCCTTTAAGAGCAGGCAGGGATGCCCTGCAGACTGGTACCCAGGGGTCCCCAGCTCTCTCGCCTTCCTTGTCTGCTTGGGGGGCACTTTTCTTGCTGGCTTCGCTCTGCATCTGAGTGGGAGGTTTCTAATTACAGCTTCTCTTTGAGCCTTTCCTGTGCCCACAGTACAGGCCTGGGTCTGGCTTTGAATGTCTCTTCACCTCCTGGGGCCAGGGGGGTGGGGGGGATGGGAGGGTGGAGGGGGCTCCTTTCAAACCCAGCTTCCTGGGCCAGAATCCAAAGTGCCCCAGCTGCGAGCCTGGCAGAGCACCAAGTCTTGGGGATCACTGCCTTGGGAATTCTCCAGCTGTTCCTCCACGTGCCTGCTGGATTTGGGCGACAGCGGGGGTACTGAGTACAGGTGAGGGCCGCTCTGGGGTTTTCTTGGGTGGGGGGTCGCCCTTACACCTGTGAGTCCTCTGGACTCTGATCTTTGGCCCCCGATTTTGTTTTCTCGGGGCACGCCAGGCAGTGCTTTGGGACCCCACTGTGCTGGAGGTTGGATCCCGGCTCCTGCATCCTCCAGTCCTTGGAATGGTTTGTTTTTAGGGCGGAGCCACACAGTGCTCAGGGCTTCATCTTGGCTCTGCACTCAGGGCTCACTCCTGGTAGGCTGGGCGGGGGTGAGGTGGGGTGCCGGGGATTGAACCGGGGTGTGCTGCGTGCAAGGCAAGCGCCCTCCCACTGTTTGGATGGAGCTTGCAATGAATGTGTGGCCAGTGGCCAGTGTTGAAGGGCAGTGGGGTCAAGGTGGTCACCACGGGCAGGGCAGGGCAGGGCGGGGCAGGAACCAGTCCCACAAGCTCTGCGCAGGACCAGGAGGAGAGCAGAAAGTTTTTCAGGGAGCTGGAGCCATAGCACAGCGGGGAGGGCGTTTGCCTTGTACGTGGCCGACCCGGGTTCGATTCTCAGCATCCCATATGGTCCCCCGAGCACCACTAGGAGTGATTCCTGAGTGCATGAGCCAGGAGTAACTCCTGTGCATCGCCGGGTGTGACCCAAAAAGCAACAGAAAAAAAAAAGTTTTTCAGGCGGTGATGGAAGGGGTTAGTGCAGGGATGGGGGTACAGATGGGCCGGGTGTGAGTGTGATTTTGCTTTGGTCACACCCGGGGGTACAGATGTGTATCCTGGAGGAAGAAAGGGCAGGAAGTGGACGCTGAGCTCATTCCCCCCCCCGCCCCCCCCCACCCGGGGCAGCTGGCGGGGCGGGGAGACAGCATCCCCCTGGGCTGAAGGGGGCACTGGGGGGGGGGCGGGGAGGGGAATGAAGGGTGCGTGAAGGGGTAGCTGCAGTCTGCCAGCCAGGCTTGGGGGGGGGCATGGGAATCCCACGGGATCTGGGTTTGGGCTAGAGATGTTCTTGGAGATGTATTTTTTTTTTTTTTGCTTTTTTTGGGTCACACCCGGTGATGCACAGGGGTTACTCCTGGCTCATACACTCAGGAATTGCTCCTGGCGGTGCTCAGGGGACCCGATGGGACGCTGGGAATCGAACCCGGGTCGGCTGCGTGCAAGGCAAATGCCCTCCCCGCTGTGCTATCGCTCCAGCCCCATTCTTGGAGATGTAGATGGTGTGTAGAAGCCTCGGGACTAGCCGGAGGGAGAGCGCCCCGGGGAGGGAGGGTCAGAAGTACGGGTTTGAGGGCTGTGGGGCGGGTCAGACCTGGCCCTGGAGGACCCGGCCGGTGTGCTGAGTGTGCTCGAGTGTGCTCGCGCTGCCTTCGAGGTTGGGAAAGCAGAGGTTGGGGAAGTGGGCAGGGCCCGCCGGGCAATGTTGCTTGCCCTCTGGGGTTTGTGGTCGGAGTCGAACAAGGAAACCAGCCCGCCTGTGTGATTTTGCTTTGGCCACACTCAGCTGCCGGGTGCCAGGAAGGAGGCCAGAGGCTGCCGAGCGCAGGTCCTCAGCGAGAGGTCCGAGGAGCCGGTGGGCCCGGCGGAGGGACCGAGAGGGGGCTGTGGGTTCCGGGGTTCTGGGTGATGACCGCTGCTGGCTGGTGGCCCACCCCGGGCTCCAGTTGTGGTGGCGGCTGTGTCCCTGGGGGCACCACGGTGGCCAGGGTTGGTGTCCAGGCAGGAGAACATGGTCCCCGTGCAGCTATGAGTGTGTTAGTGGTCATGGGGGCCGGATGGGGTCAGGCTCGGTCCACAGCCTCCTCCCGAAACAGCATCACACCTTACCCAATGTGGTTTCGATGGATTCTGAGTAGAAAGCGATATGGGGGTGGGGGGGTCGAGCAACAGGCTAGCGAGGCGGGTGCTTGCCTTGGCATGTGGCCAACCCAGGTTTTTTTTCCCCCCTTTTTGGGTCACACCCAGCGATGCACAGGGGTTACTCCTGGCTTTGCACTTAGGAATTACTCCTGGCGGTGCCCAGGGGACCATTTGGGATGCTGGGTATCGAACCCGGGTTTGGCCGCGTGCCAGGCAAGCACCCTCCCCGCTGCGCTATCGCTCCAGCCCCCAACCCAGGTTTGATCCCCGGCACCCATATGGCCCCCTGGCCTGCCAGGAGTGATCTCTGAGCACTGCTGGGTTTTGTCCAAAAACCTACAAAAGGTTTTGGGGGCTTGTGGACCTTTCTCACTGGTGCTTGGGGGTCTTCTAATTCTGGGCTCAGGGATCGCGTCCAGCCGCGTTTGCCCTGAACTCTCTCTGGCTCTTGGTGTTTCTGCTCTCGTATGACAGCTGTGTCCGGGCCTGCACGGGGACAGTCCCTAGTGACGTGCTGCCGTGAGTTCTGCTCTCTCAGCTGAATTCCGGTTTTATCACGCAGCATTTCCATACACTTGAAAAAATGTTAAGAAGACACATTCAGTCTAAATTTAGCGCCGGGGAGAAAGTGGGGTGTGCTTCCAAAAGTAGGGCGTGCTTGTGGAGTCAGACTTGGCAACAGCTGTCTGGGCGCCCCCTGAAGTGGAAGGGAGAGACTCGCCAGGTGGTGCTATTAACTATTATAATTATGTGACTCAGTCCTTTAAGCAGCTTTCTGCCAACAAAGAACGGGAAAGTTTAAAACGATTTTCCCAGGGTCCTTTATTCGAGGTTGGGTGGTTGCCTTGCACACGGCCAGCCCTGCCGACTTGGGTTCGATTCTTCTGCCTCTCTCGGAGAGCCCGACTAGCTGCCGAGAGTATCTCGCCCACATGGCAAAGCCTGGCAAGCTACCTGTGATGTATTCAATATGCCAAACACAGTAACAACAAGTCTCACAATGGAGACGTTACTGGGCCTGCTCGAGCAAATCGATGAACAATGGGAGGACAGTGCTACTGTGCTATTTTATTTATAATTTTTTTTCCCTTTTTGGGTCATACCCAGCAATGCTCAGGGGATCATATAGATGCTGGAGATTGAATTCAGGGTGGCCGCAGGCAAGGTAAACACCCTCCCCACTGTGCTATCGCTCCTCGCTCCAGCCCTGGTCCTTTTTTTTTTTTTTTTGCTTTTTTGGTCACACCCAGCAATGCACAGGGGTTACTCCTGGCTCTGTACTCAGGAGTTACTCCTGGCAGTGCTCAGGGGACCATATGGGACGCTGGGAATCGAACCCGGGTCGACCGCGTGCAAGGCAAACGCCCTACCCGCTGTGCTATCGCTCCAGCCCGGTCCTTTATTTTTTAGTTTTGAGGCCACACCCAGTGATGTTCGGGGCTTACTCCTGGCTCTGCACTTGGGAATCACTCCTGGTGGTGCTCATTGGAGGTGGGGGGGGGGGCACATGGGGTGCCGGGGATTAAACCCAGGCCAGCCACATGCATGGCAAGTGCCCTACCCTCTGTACTATCATTCTAACCACCCCCCCCAGTCCTTTATTAATAAGCCTTTTCCGCCTCGTCACCATAGCAGCGGAATAGGTGGTTAACTTAAGAATGAGGTCCAGATGGTCTTCGGCAGTTTGGCCATCATGTAAAGCGATCAGTGTCGCTGTCCGCCCCGGCCCACAGCTGCCAGTGCTAGAGCAGATCCTCGGGGAATGATTTTACCAGGAAAAAGAGAATTTATGACCAATAGACCCTTTTCCTTTGGGGGGGAGGGGAGTAACCCACACTGGTGATGGTCAGGGCTGACTCCTGGCTCTGCTGTCAGGAATCACTCCCCACGGTGCTGGGGGACCCTAGGGGTGCAAGCCACGTGCCCTCCCAAGCGTACTTTCCCTCCAGACCCTGATAGACCCGTGGCATGGTGTGGCCGTGTTTGGTACAAAAGCTAGAGTTTTTAAAAGCGCAGCCCAAGGGTGGTGTGTTCCGTATTTGAGATGACCCGTAACAGCAACTGGACAGGAGCCCCGACAGCCCTGGGGTTTGGAACCTCTTGGGGGAGCGGGCAGGGAGGTCCCTTTTGGCTGGCTGGGCTGGGGTGTGCTTGGCACCCTAAAGGTGGCATCGTGACCGGGGGCATGCCCTGCGGTTTGTCGGCGTTTTCAGGAGCAGCCAATACAGAGGGAGGGACTGCCGCTGGGGGGAGTCAGTGTGTGCTCACTCTTGGCCCCTCATACCTTGTCTCCGAGATCAGAGTCGGGCCTGTGCCGGGGTCTCTGCTGGAGTGAGGCTCTTGTGTTTGTTTTGTTTGGGGGCCACGGGCCTGGGTGCTCAGGGCTTAGTCCTGGCTCTGTGCCTAGGGGTCACTTTTGGCTGGGCTTGGGGACTGTGTGGGTGCCGGGGATTGGACCCTGGTTGCACTCTCAGGTTTGGCCCCATCTGCTCATTCTGTCAGAATCCGGTGATTTTCTCACAATTTACACTCGAGTTCTTTCTAGCAGGTGCTAATCTTGGTTCCCAGGGATCTTGTTTGTTTGTTTTCAAGGCGCTTTCTGCAGTTGAGTTGGGGCGATAATCGGCCAGTTGTCAGGTCACGAGATCCTGTGTCCTGTCTTTGCAGGAGGAGGAAATGACGTGACTGGGTCGCTCTCTGGACGTGAGGCCACAGCAGGACTGTCAGGGCAGCATGGCCTGGCCACGCCTGGTTCCCCGGGGCGCCGCGCCCTCCCGCCTCAGCCACCACCACGTGGTCGTCTTCCTGCTCACTTTCTTCAGGTCTGTTCTGGCGCTGCCCTGGGGCCTCGCGAGGGCTCGTGCGGGTGTGTGGTTGTGTGTGTGTTTGTGTCTGTCTGTGTCTATATGTTTGTCTGTGTGTGTCTGGCTGTGTGTGTGCCTGTGTATGTGTGTGTCTCTGTGTGTGTCTGTGTGTGTTTGTATCTGTGTATGTGTGTGTTTGTGTGTCTGTGCATCTCTGTGTATGTCTATGTGTGTCTGTATGTCTGTCTGTATGTGTGTTTGTGTCTCTGTGTGTGTCTGTGTCTATGCGTCTATCTGTGTGTGTGGCTGTGTGCCTATGTCTATGTGCCTGTGTATGTGTGTGTGTCTGTCTTTGTGTCTGTGTCTCTGTGTGTGTGTGTGTGTATGTCTGTCTCTGTGTGTGTCTGTGTATGCGTGTGTGTGTGTTTGTGTGTCTGTGCGTCTCTGTGTGTATGTCTGTGGGTCTGTGTGGGGGGGTGGCTGTGTGTGTGTGTGTGTGTGTGTGTGTGTGTGTGTCTGTCTGTCTGTCCTGGGCTGTGTAGGGTTTATGGGGATTTACTTTTTGGTGTTTGAACCTCCCCGGTGAGGCTCAGGAGTTACTCCTGACAGTGATGGGAGACCATATGGATGCCAGGGACCTGACCCAGGTTGGATGCATGCAAGGTGGATGCCCCATGCTCTGCACTATGGCTTGTGCTCCTAACCTGGGGGGGGGGGTTGGGCATGGTGTCCTGCTCCCTGGGTGCCCGGTCTGCCACTGACCCACTTCCCTAGCCTTGAGGGCGCAGGGGCTCGGGTACCCGTTTGTCATTTGCAGGCCTGCAGAGAGCTTGGGTGTCATGCTCGGAGTTTGGGGTGGAGTGGGGACCTGGGATGCCGCGGGACATCCCATGGGGCATAGGCAGCACCCTCATACGGAGTCTGGGGCTCCCCCAAGCACAGCCTAGGGCTGAAGCACTCTCCTTCCGGTCTGTTCCTTTATGAGGATCCAGGCCACGTGTTCTGAGGACATGCTGGACCTTGTGTCTGTGTGTAAACTGAGGCTGTTGGATTCCAGCTGGCTCAGGTCAGGAGCGGCCCCCATTGTCCTTCCTGGGTCACGACCCCATCACAAGGGCCTCACTCTGGTTCCTCCCGTCACTGGCCCATCAGGAGCTGCCATATGTTGCCCAGCGCTGGGCCTCTAGCTCTCCCGGGGTCTGCGTTGGCGGGTGCCTGGCTCTGGTGCCTGAGGTGCCCTGTGTGCTAGCGGGGGACCGTTGTTCCTGGGGCAGGTCCCCATGAGACCCTGGGCCTCTTCCCAGCCATCTGGGGATGACATACTCTTGGCTGTTGTGTGGGGCATCACTAAATCAGCTGTCCTAATGATTTCTTTCTCTCTTTTTTTTATTTTGGTGGGTGGTGGCAGGTACATACACCCAACAGTGCTCAAGGCTTACTCCTTTTTTTTTTTTTTTTTTTTTTGCTTTTCGGGTCACACCTGGCGATGCACAGGGGTTACTCCTGGCTCTGCACTCAGGAATCACCTCTGGCGGTGCTCAGGGGACCATATGGGATGCTGGGAATCGAACCCGGGTTGGCCACGTGCAAGGCAAACGCTCTACCCGCTGTGCTATTGCTCCAGCCCTCAAGGCTTACTCCTGGCTCTGCACCCAGGGATCATTCCTGGCAGTGCTTGGGGGACCTAGAGGATGCCAAGGATCGAATGTGGGTTGACCGCACCCAAGGCAAATACCTTACCCGTTATATTATTGCTCCAGCCCACATTCCCCCCCCCCTTTTTAGGGGACCACACCTGGCAAGGCTCAGGAGTCACTGTACACTCAGGAGTTACTCCTGGTGGTGCTCCAGAGACCAAGTGTGTTGAGAATCCGAGTCAGGCTCTGCGGGGTGCCAGGTGAGCACCCTCCCCGCTGCCCTCCTCTGGCCCCATGGTGATGGTTTTTGGAGATGGGAACCAAGGGTGCCAGCGGTAGTTCAGCTGTCAGGGGGTGTGCCTGCCTGGCATGTACCGACCCGGCTTCATTCCCAGCGCTAGGTGGTTCTCCGAGCCTTGCATCGTGGAGTGCGTTCTTGGGTCCCCCAGCATCCTTGGGGTGGCCCGGGTACCCCTGATGCCACAGAGCCTAAGCAGTATTGCATCCTCAAACTCTGGCACTGAACCACTGGTCCAGTGAGCTGAGATTTTTTTTTGGGGGGGGGGGGGTCATACCCAGTGATGCTCAGGGCTTACTCCCGACTTTGCCCTCAGGAATTACTCCTGGTGGTGCTTGGGGGACCATATGGGATGCTGGGAATCGAACCTGGGTTGACCCCTTGTAAGGCAAACACCGTCCCTGCTGTCCTATTGCTCTGGCCCTGAGCTGAGATTTCTGGTGGGGCCCTTGGACCCTCTGTGCACTGTTTAGGGCAGCCCTCACCTCCACCCTCCCCCAAAAGAGGACAGAACCAGCGAAATGCCTCTCCTTGTGGAGGAGCTGAGTGACATGGGGTGGGGGTGAGGTGTGGAAGGTGGCCCGCAAGCTGGGAGGGGACTTGGTCTCACGCTGCCCCTTAGGGTCGAGACAGGGCTGGTGTGAACCCTTAAGCAGGACTCTTTTTTTTTTTTTTTTGAGTGGGGAGGTTCAGGGAAACCCAGAAAGTGTCAAATGAGCGCTGCCAGGGGCCACTTCCGAGCACAGAGCCAGGAGGAAGCTCTGGGCACCTCTCAGTGTGACCTGCCTGGGCGCCCACCACTGAGTTCCATGCTTGGCATCTGCTCACCCGGCCCTGCCACTCACTGGTTCTTTCTCTCTCTCTGGCAGCTACTCCCTGCTCCACGCCTCGAGAAAGACGTTCAGCAACGTCAAAGTCAGTATCTCCAGGCAGTGGGCGCCCACCGCTGCCAATGCGTCCGCGTCAGTGGAACTGCCCGTCGAGGTAAGCGGCCGCGCTGGAGGGTCTCTGATGGACGTGGGGTGTGGTCACTCGCAGCTCATGCTCTATCCGGTGCTGGGGGCTGAGCCAAAGCCGCACACGTGCAAAGGCAGCTCTGTCCTGGCTCTGATCGGCCTCCGTAAAGGCTCCATGAGACCCCCGGCTCTGCCCACAGCCCCCTCAGTGACACTCCTGCATCTCAGCGACACTCCTGCTGGCTCTGCCGGCCCCGAGGAAGTGTCCCCTGGCAGGGACGCCCGGGAGAGCAGCGAGGTGTCTCTGCCTCCTGCAGGAACGCCGGTGTATGTGTCAGCCCGGCTGCGGCCCCTTTAAGGAGAGCCGCTTGTCCCTCATGCAGGGACTTTGTGCCGGGCTCTCTGTTTACTGAGCATGTCCTGGCCCGACAGCTTCCCTCATTCTGGCTTCAGCAAGCCCCGTGGCCGAGGAATTCATGCGAGTTCTGTCAGGGCCAGTTCGGAATTAGCCTGGTAGCTTCGTGTTTCCGGCCATCAGGGAGGGCAGAACTGAGTGTTTGTGGCTTTCTTTCTCTGCCCCGAAAGGACAGGTTTTGTCTGCTGAGGCCCATGCCTGGGAGTGCAGTGACGAGTATGGTGGTAGCCGGGAGTGCAGTGATGAGTATGGTGGTAGCCGGGAGTGCAGTGACGCGTACAGTACAGTGGAGGCTAGGGGTGCAGTGATGAGTTGGTGGTAGCCAGGAGTGCAGTGACGAGGACAGTGGTGGCTGGCAGTGCAGTAGTGAGTACAGTACAGTGGAGGCTGGCGGTGCAGTGAGGAGTACAGTGGTAGCTGTGGGTACATTGATGAATATAGTGGTGGCTGGCAGTGCAGTGACGAGTACAGTCCAGTGGCAGGTGGGGGTGCAGTGGCGACTGGGGGTGCAGTGATGGATGAGAGTACAGTGGCGACTGGGAGTACAATGACGAGTACAGTGGCAGCTGGCCATGCAGTAATGAGTACAGTACAGTGGTGGCTAGGGATGCAGCGACAAGTACAGTGGTGGCTGGGGGTGCAGTGACGAGTACAGTTGCTATTGGGACTCCAGTGGGTTCAGCGGCTGGACAGCTTGCCTGCTCCTTTTGTGCTGCCGACCCCATGGTTGTTTCCCCTTGAGCGTCTTGTGGAGACTTTCTGGTTGAGAGTGGGGAAGTCGTCTTCTTCTTCTTCTTTTTTAATTTTAATGTAGGAGTGTTGCTCGTCTTCTTTTTTTCTTTTTGAATTGAATTTTTTAAAAGTTGTTCACAATCATTTCTTACATTCAGTATTCCAACACCAATCCCACCACCATTATACCTTCCCACCATCACTATTTTGAATTTTCCCACCACCACCCCAAAAGCAGGTCCTAAATAATTTAGTTTGTAATTGCTTGTTAGGAATAATTAGCTAAAAATGATCCCAGGTGGGTGAAGATTGTTGTATTTCACCCTGGAACCATCAAGCCCTTGTATATGAGATTACTGACATGTTGTTATGGTTGATCCTTTGGGTGCTTATGTGTGTATATGTATATATACATATATATGTATATACGTATGTGTGTGTGTGTATATATATATAAAATATATATATTTTGATCGGGATGAGATCAGTTGCTTTCCTCTTTACACTCCATCAAACATGGTGTGCTACTCTTGGTACATCAGTGGCATAGAGTATGAGATTCTGTGGCCACACACTCCCAAGAATTTCTAACTTTTAAATAGGATGATACAGCTGCAGATAATTTTTTTAACAGGATGGTGACTTTTGGGCCAGGAAACATCTCTGCAGCTTGTGGCTCTCTTCCGAGATTTATTTATGAGTCTCTGGATCATGGCTGTTTGTGAGCTGATATGGCACCAGAGGCTGTTCATGAGTGTGACTGCCAGGCTCCGAGAAGAACAGGGAGATGGGGGGAGGGCACCCATCCCTGACTCCTTGAGAGCCTGGAGATTTCGGTCACAAAACATGCATACCTGGGCTTTTCAGCAGATTCATTCTCATGGATGAGGCTTGTCCTGAGTCTGTGGAGATTGGCCGTGAGCATGGCGGTGATTGGGTTCTGGAGGTTTTCAGCTGCCGGGGGTCTGTTTAGGACTGGTGGGGAACTCGCGCGCCACCCCCCCCCCCCAGGTGCCCCAGATGAGACTCAGCCTGGTGTGGAGGCATCTCTGCAGCTTGTGTCTCTCTTCTGAGATTTATTTAAGGGGGAGGGGGGATTCTTTAGGATCAGGAAGTATCAGTTGAGTCAGAATTCAAAAAATATTCTGTGTTGGGCTGGAGCGATAGCACAGAGGGTAGGGTGTTAGCCTTGCACGTGGCAGACCTGGGTTCAATTCCCAGCATCCCATATGGTCCCCTGAGTACTGCCAGGAGTAATTCCTGAGTGCAGAGCCAGGAGTGACCCCTGTGCATCACTGGGTGTGACCCAAAAAGAAAAAAAAAATTCTGTGAAGGCTATCACAGCTCTGGGCAGAGCACATGTTTTTGTTTTTGTTTTTTTTTTTTTTTGAATTTTATTTTCATAAAGTTGTTCACGATAATTGATTCAATATTTCAACACCAATCCCACCACCTCTCAAGCCTGCCTCAAAGGCAGATGCTAGATAACTTATTTTGTATTGCTTGTTGTGAATGGCATGAGATGTTGCGTGGCTGCGCCCTCTTGGACTTCAAATTTTTAAATGATTAGGATCCAGAGAAACCTCTGTAGCAAGCTACTTAGTTCTGAGATTCATCTGTGAGTCTGTGGATCATGGCCGTTCACGGTCACAGTGCTCCCGTTATTCATAGATTTGCTCGAGCGGCCCCAGTAACATCTCCATCATGAGACTTGTTTCTGTGTTTGGCATACTGAATACATCATGGGTAGCTTGTCCGGCTTTGCCGTGAGGGCGAGATACTCTCGGTAGCTTGCCGGGCTCTCCGAGAGGGGCGGAAGAATCGAACCCGGCTTGGCTGGGCTGGCTGCATGCAAGGCAAACGCCCTACTGCTGTGCTATTGCTCCAGCATGACCGTTAGTGCCCTTAAATGGCACCTGGAGGCAGTTGTGGGTGTGATAGCCAGGACCCCATAGGGGCGGGGAGATGGGAAGGAGCAGACTGTCCCCGATCCCTTGAGGCCTGGAGTTTGCAGTCGCTGGTCCCACCTCCTTGGGTCTTTCATTGGGTCCTGGAGTAATTCCTGAGTGCAGAGCCAGGAGTGACCCCTGTGCATCACTGGGTGTGACCCAAAAATATTCAGGGGGCAGGTGGAGGTACGACACCTGCTCCTGTCTGAGGCACCTGGTGAGATCAGCCTGGCACAGGGCCCAGAGGCATCTCTGCAGCGAGCTAGAGCACAAGTTTTGTGTAGGTGAGGCCCTGGGTTCGGCCCCTGTCACCTCCTCACACTGTTTCATCTGTGTTTAAATGCTCTTTTCTGTTTATATATGTGGTTTCTTTCTTTCTTTCTTTCTTTTTTTAATCTTCGCTCGCTTGGGAGCTACCTAATGATGCGGTGCTGAGGATTGAACTCAGGGTGTTGATCACGCTGGTGCTTTACCACTTGAGCCATATCCCTACCCCCCATTTGGTTTTGCAAAGTGATTTTTCCCCCCTTTTTCTTTTCTGGACCACACCCAGCAGTGTTTAGCGCTTACTCCTGGCTCTGTACGCAGGGAACAATCCTGGCAGGCTCAGGGGACCATTAGGGTGCCAGGGATCGAATCTGGGTTGGTGATTCTTGGGTTACTCCTAGCTCTGCACTCAGGAATCACTCCTGGCGGTGCTCTGGAGACCATCTAGAACACTGGGGTTCAAACTTGGTCAGCCGCAAGTGCCTTACCCACTGTACTGTTTTTCCAGCCCCTTAAGATATTTTTAAGCGAATGAAGTAAACTCAGAGTTGAATGATGCTTGATGAAAAATGGCTTTTGAAACGCCCGCCAAAAGGCACTTAACCAGGAAAGTGGCTTTGATTTAAACTCGTGCCCGGCCTCCCCGTGTCTGGATTCAGAGAAGGCCAGGTTCTCCGTCTGAGTCTGAACTCAGTCTCCGCAGTCTATAGGGCAGACCTTGGGAGTTTTGAAGAGAAGTACCCTTTCTTAGATACATAGTGTCCAGGCGAGACTGTTAATGCCTCTTCCCTAGTTGGCGTATCCATCTGTGGGGCTTCATCAAAACAGGACAAGTAGCAATTTCTTAAAGGTTAGCTACAAGGTAACTAAAACTGAAACAGTATCAATTAACTTTTTATGCCCTTTCATGCCCTTCCAGGCAGATCCATTTGTCTGTTTTGTTCTAGGACCACTCTGGAAGAGAGCCCCCCCCTTCACTCTTTCTGTGGGCACAGCTCTGAGGCGTTGGGCGGCTCAGGGGTGACCCCTGGTGGTGCTGGGGACCATATGCAGGTGGGGGATTGACCCCTGGTCATATGTGCTCCAGGCAGGCACCTTAACCCCTTACTGTCTCTGCTGCCCTCATTTCACTCTGTCTTTCTTGAGGCAGGACCTACCAGATGCCCAACTGTGAATAATTACCAACTTGTCTGTTATTTATTTGGTTTTATTTTTGGGGGGTGGAGAGGGTAGGGCTACACCTGGCGGTGCTCAGGGCCTCTTCCTGGCTCTGTCCTCGGGAGTGACCCCTGGCAGTGCTTGGAGGACCAATTGTGGTGCAAGGCTTAGGCTGCGGTCAGCAGCTTGCCAGGCAGGCCTCCTGTATTCTCTCTGGCCCTTGCCTGTCGTTCTTCGAAGGAGAACTTTCACAGCCTGCGGCCTAGGCTGATGCATAACTCCTTCCGCTGTACAGAAATGCCCTTTGTCCTCTCACAGCCGAATCACGGGTATGAGTTTTCTGGCTTACGTATGAACTGGTCGTGACGGGGCAACTGAAACCTCATGGGAAGGGGGGCGTTCCCGGCTCGTTCTTCACGCCGTACCGAGGTCAGGAGTTGCCTCCCCACGAGCGGCTCTCCGGCACGGCCATGGCTCCAGAAGTACAGAACCAATCTCATAATTATCTGACTCTCAGCAGAAATACTTCAAGGCTTAATAAGTAAAATACCAGAAATCCAAAATCGCGGCTGTGCGACATCATTTGGTTCTTCTAACCAGCTGTAGAAAACAAATTATTTCACAATGCCTTTTCAGCATGTCAGATTGGGAGGTGTAAACTCTAGATAGTAATGGTATATCTTTTGTCGAAACAATGAATCTAATCAAAGTAGATAGAGTGTTAACTAGAGTTCATCTGCCTCACAGGCATTGGGAGGGTTGGGGGAGTCTATTGGGGTTCTTGGTGGTGAAAAATAAGTATTGGTGAAGGGAAATGTGTTTGATAATTGCATGACCGAGACTTAAACCTGAAAGCTTTGTAACTTTTTCCACAGTGATTCAATAAATTTAAAAAAATAAAAAAGAGTTTTCTGGCTTATGGAATGCAGTTAATACTCTGTCACTGCATCAAAGCCTTTTTTTGTTTTTTTTTTTGGGGGGGGTAGGGGTCCATACCTGGTAGTGCTCAGGTCACTCTCAGTGGTGCTTGGGGGCCCCTGTGGGTGCTGGGGCGCTAACCCAGCTTCCTGCCCCGGGACTGAGAGCACGGAGCTCTTTCTCTGGTCCAAAGACATCCTTTGGAAAAGCCAGGTGAGGCTCTGGAATGCTAGTCCAGTGGATGAGATGGCTGGCCTTACCCGCAAGTGACCCGGGTTCAATCCCCGGCACCCCATGTGGTCCCCTGAGCCCTACCAGGAGTGATTCCTGAGTGCAGAGCCAAATGTGACCCGACCCATCCCCTTTCCTCACCATCCCCCTTCCCCCCACAAAAAAAGCCATGTGAAGGGTCAGGGCTATATCAGCTGACCTTTCTTGGGTGATGCCCTGGCTTCCAGCCCCACCATCTCTCGTCCCATCAAGTTGAAAAAGAAGCCAAGGGAAAGTGACTTTCCCCCTTTAGTTACTGAGAATGTATGGCGGTAAAGAGTGTCCCGATCAGGACCCCGGGTTGTGCTACTCCCGATGGCTCCTGGGCCCGAGTGCCACCCCCCACTGCCCCTGCCCCTGCCGAGGAATCCCCGAAGCAAAGAGGCGAGTCCCAGATGGGCCTTGCGCACGTTTCCCTCTGGATGCGAGTGTAGGTGCGGGTGTCACTGTGTCTGGGGAGACCGCGGCCCCTTTCCCTGGGAAGGCTGTCGGAAAGCGACTGTGACGCGTCCGTGTCTCACTGTAGATCTGGAGCCGCAATCACCTGTTCCCCAGCGCAGAGGAGGCCACGCTCTTCCTCGGGACACTGGACACCATCTTCCTCTTCTCCTATGCTGTGGTGAGTTTCACAGGCAGGGCGGCGAGGTGAGGAAGGTATGAAAGGAAATGACGGCTCTAAAGCCAGGGATGACGAGTTTCTTGATGGCGCAGGATTCAGCGTGGCTCAAGTTTTTCTTTTGTGACCCTGCCGTGCCCTTCACTCCCTCATCATCCCTCTCCCCATCCCTCCATCCATCCCTCTTTTCGTCTACCCTGTATCCATCCATCTGCGGAGAATAGCCCCTCAGCACTGCCGGATGTGACCCCCAATAAACAAAAAGACAGGGGTCCATCCGTTCCCCCTTCCTTATTCCATCTGTCCAGTCTTTGTCTGTCTGTCCATCTTCACCCATCCACCCCTCTCTGCCTCCATCCACTGATCTCTCCTTCCCTCCCATCGATCAGATGCACATACAGAGTGCCTGGCTGTGAGTTGGAGGTGGGACCAGTCCACTGCGCCCTCAGTGGTTGGGGAACCCCTCTACCCAAGTTCAGTCCCTGAAGGAACCGGGCTTGAGAGTCCTGTAGCTTCAGGGAGTGTCAAGGGGTTTCCCGATACAGCACGTGCATCTCCCTGGGATGTCCAGAGTAAAATGAGTCCTTGATGGGACACACCAGTAATATTTGCTCCCATTGGTCACCTGGAGCAGGAAGCCGTGGGCATAGCAGCTAGAGTGAGGCCCCAGGCCTGGGGTGTGTCTGGAGACTGGGAACAGGGCAAGAGCCAAGGAGAAACATTTAAGCTTTCCCACACAATCTCAGTGGCCTGACTTGACATAACAAGTGTGTGGCCCTTGGTTGGCTTTGGCCTTTCAGTTTCTGCCACTCTGAGGGCACTGAGCAGAGACAGAACATTCTAATAGTACAGCAGGTAGGGTGCTTGCCTTGCATGCTTACCAACCTGGGTTCATTCCCCAGGATCCTGTATGTTAACCCCACCCTGCTCCCCTCCGAGCCCCGCCAGGAGTAAGCCCTGAGCACCACTGGGTGTAGCCCAGAAACCAATAGAACATTAATGGCCCCTCTCTCCAGCTCTCTGCCCTGCAGAATCAGGGTCAGACATGGGCCTTGAGCTGTGGTTCTGAGGACAGGGTAGAATAGGGTGTCACCCCAAATGCCTCCCGCCCCCCACTGTGGGGGACAGCCATTAGTCCATCCCCCAGGGTGAGAGCCCATGTATCCACAGCTTTGGCCAGGCTTCGTCCTTGGCTGTCATTTATTGCTCCATTTCCTTCAAGGAGGATGGGGGGGGTCCTGCGCCCCCAGGCTTGCCTCAGATGTCCGAGCGGCGGGGTAGCTTGCAGCAGGCCACCTGCGGCTGCTCCGAGCCCCTAGGCGCCTCGTGATACCGGCTCACTTTCAGGGCCTGTTCATCAGCGGCGTCGTCGGCGACCGGCTGAACCTGCGATGGGTGCTGTCCTTTGGCATGTGCTCTTCTGCGCTGGTGGTAAGTGGCCACGGGCCGTGGCGTCCTCACTGCCCCCTGCCCAGCGGTCACTGCCCTTTCATACTGGAGACTGGGAACAGGGCAAGAGCCAAGGAGAAACATTTAAGCTTCCCCACGCGATCTCAGTGGCCTGACATGACATAACAAGTGTGTGGCCCTTGGTTGGCTTTGGCCTTTCAGTTTCTGCCACTCTGAGGGCACTGAGCAGAGACAGAACATTCTAATAAATAGTACAGCAGGTAGGGTGCTTGCCTTGCATGCACCTTGGCGGGAGCCCAGAGCCCGCCTCTGGGTCCCGCCCCTTCCGCCCCCTGCTGTTCGCCCCGCCCCTTCTGGCCCACCTCTTCCGCCCTGGCTGCTATCAGGTCCGCCCCTTCCTGCCTCCGTGCTGTCTGCCCCGCCCTTTATACCCCGCCCCTTCCGACCTCCCCGCTGTCGGGCCCACCCCTTCCGGCCCGCCCCCCCAGGCTCTCCCTGCTCCCTGTCCACTCGTGCCCGTGGCCATCCCTGCAGGTGTTCGCCTTCGGCACGCTCACAGAGTGGATGCACTTCTACAACAAGGGGCTGTACTGCTGCCTGTGGATTGTGAACGGCCTGCTGCAGTCCACGGGCTGGCCCTGCGTGGTCGCCGTCATGGGCAACTGGTTCGGGAAAGCCGGGTAGGCCACCGCCGTCCCCCCATCCCCCGGCCCTGGGTCTGCTGGATGCCGTGGAGAGCCCTTCGGGAGCGGGTTCTCAGCGTGGGGGGAGGGAGGTGGACAACAGTGGTGCAGTTCTAGCTCATGGGACACTCAGTGCTTGCTCCTGGGTCACTGTCAGATTCTGAATGAGGCCAAGGCCTGTCCTTTTTTTTATTTAATTAAAAAAGATTGTTTTTGGGTCACACCCAGGGGTGTTCAAGGTTACTCCTGGCGATGCTGGAGATCATAGGGGGTGCTGGGGATTGAACCCAGGTCAGACATGTGCAAGGCAAGCACCCTGCCCATTGCACTACCCAGCCCCAGCCCCCAGTACTGTCTCTCCTGGCGATAATTTTGTTGTTGTTTTTATTTGGGGGCCTCAGTTAGTTTCCAGTCCCCCGACTCCTCACAACTCTGTAGCCATCCATTGTGTACTGACAGCTTCAGGATCTGTTCGGTAGCTGGGCACACCTTGAGTGCACCTCTAAAGCCATCACCACGGTGAAGATGAAGATATGTTTGTCTCTCCCCAAATTTCCCTCAGTTCCTTGGTGATTCCTCCCTTCCATTGCTGTCTCTAGGCAACTCCTCATCTACCTTCTGTCACTTTAATTTGCATTTGCAAAAATTTATAGAAATGGGCTTGTACAATATGTGCTCTTTCTTTTCTCCTTCATTTGGCATAAATTGCAGACCACACCTGGCAGTGCCCAGGGGTGTCCCACAGCTCAGTGCTCAGGGATCACTCCTGCTGGTGATCAGAGACCATGAGGTATCGGGAGTTAGACCCAGGGCCACACACGTGCAAGGCAAGTGCTCTAACACAGCCATATCATTGCTCCTGGCCCTGCTTTTGAGATTGATTTATGCGTGTGTTGGTGGTTCATTCCTGTGCCCCAGTTTTCTCTTCTTCAGCAGAAATGGCTGATTTATTTACCTGATGATGAGCATTTGGGCCGTTTTCAGTTTGGAACTCATACAAAGCTATTGAGAACTTCGGGTATGAATCCACAAGCAGACTTACACCTTCCTGTCCAAAAAAATTGGCACTTCAGACTAGCATGGTTTGGTCACAGGCAGCTGTGTGCTTTGTCTCTAAGAAACTGTCAGCTAGGGGCCAGAGCAATAATTGAACAGCAGGCAGGCCGCTTGCCTGCCTTGCACAAGCCTATTGGGGTTCCAATCCTGGCACCTCATATGGTCCCTGAGCCTGACCAGGAGTGATCTCTGAGCACCTCCAGATGTGACCCCAAACCTCCGCCAAAACAAATGTGGCAGCGCTTCCACAGGGGTGCCCACTAGCCTGCCCGCTTGCAGTGCAACACAAGTCATCCCTGCCTCGGGTGTCCAGCTGGGCTAGTGCCCTGGTTGTGGGACACATCACTGCAGTGTCAGAGAACATTTTTTCCTGTGCTTACTCCAGCGGGTGTTTGGTGAAGAGCCGTTAAAATCTTTCCTTCCCTTTCAGAAGCCTTTTATTTGAGGTAATTGCCCATTAATATTTCACTGCATGGTCTCTTCTCCAGTTATTGTATTTTGAGAGTTCTTCACATTCCTGAAACTCCATCCTTCCTTCCTTGCTCCCTTCCTCCCTCCCTCCCTTCCTCCCTTTCCTTCCACCTTCCCTTTTTCCCTTCCTACTTCCCTCTTCCCTCCTTTAATCTTCCCTCCCTCCCTCCCTCTCTCCCTTCCTTTCTTTCTCTCCACTTCCACCCTTGGCAGGTGTGGGGGGTCGGTACTGGGGCTGTTTCTGGTTCCTTGCTCAGGAGTGGCCCCTTGCAGTGCCTTGGGGACCATCTGTGGTGCCCACGATTTGAACAGGATCACGGCTCACGTGATCGGGGCAAGGCACAAGTACCTTCTCTCCTGTACTCTTTCTCTAGTCTATACTGCATCTTTGTGGGGAACTCCTATGCGCGTTTTCTCCCACTTCGTGGCTTATGGTTTTTAAATTCTCTTGGGGTGGGATGCTGGAGAGAAGTACAGGGGTATGGTGATCACCTTGCTTGCTCGAGGCTGACCTGGGTTCTAATCCCTGCACCCAGCTCCACCAGGAGTGCTCCCTGAGCACAGAACCAGGCATGACAGCCCTGAGCACTGCCGGGTGTGGCCCTGAAAACAAAACAAAATTTCCTTCCTTCACATGTCTTCTGAGGGTCCCCAAGTTGAACTCCATTGTAGCATCTTAGCAAGAAGAGACCTGATTCCCCCCCCCCACCCCCACTCTTTGGGATATTCGGGAAGTATCTTACTAGAACAGAATGCAAATTGCCCTGTGAACCTTTGCTCTTCGGCGGTTGCTTTAAAATCTTTCATTGATGATCTTCGACGGTGCGGGGTGTGGGGTGGAACCCGGGGCCTCACACAGCTGAGCCTGCTGGTTGCTGGGTTGTTCTGCCCTGTACTGCCCAGAGCGGACCCTCTAATCCCGGGGTCCTCCCTGTCGCCCTCCGCAGCCGTGGCGTGGTCTTCGGCCTCTGGAGCGCCTGTGCCTCGGTGGGGAACATTCTCGGCGCGTGCCTTGCCTCTTCTGTCCTGCAGTATGGCTACGAGGTAGGTGTTTCCTTCCGCTTTTTCTTGAGCATTATCTTATTATTTTTTGTTTTGTTTTGTTTTTGCTTTTTGGATCACACCTGGTGATGCACAGGGGTTACTCCTGGCTCATGCACTCAGGAATTACTCCTGGCGGTGCGTGGGGGACCATGTGGGATGCTGGGAATCGAACCTGGTCGGCCGCGTGCAAGGCAGACGCGCTACCCACTGTGCTATTGCTCCAGCTCCATGTATCTTGTTTTCTAATGAATAATTCGGGGGCTGTGGAGAGCTGCCAGGGTGTTGTGCAGAGAGAGAAAGAGCATGGCGGGGAGGGCACTCGTGTTGTTGTCGGCGGCCACCCCGGGTTTGATCCTTGACTGCCTATTTTGGTCTCCTGCGCCCCGGCAGGCATGGGCTCACACTGGAAACCAAGTGAAATAAGAACTCCCGGGCGGCACAGCCCCCCCGCCCCTTCCCACTGCAGCGTGTCCAGTGTGGTTCTGGGCGTGGTTCTCCACTCTGGCACAGCTCGGTAGTAGCAGGAGCTCCGTGACCAGCGGTGGGGCCGAGGTTCAGCTGGGTCAGCTGGTGAGTGAGGGACAGGCCTTGCAGGGGGGAGATGATACAGGGGACCGGCCCACAGGGAAGGATTTGCTCAGAGCAGTGGCGAGCGGTGCCGGGGGTCAAAGCAGTGGTTTGTACCAGATATAAGAAAAGTGTGGGTGCCGGGCCCATGGGAACCGGTTTGGGGCAGGGGTGCGGGTGCTGGGCCCATGAGAGCCAGCTCAGGGGGCAGGGGTAAGGGTGCTGGGCCTGTGGGAGCCAGCTCAGGGGGCAGGGGTGCGGACACCGGGCCCTCGGAAGCCAACTTAGGGCAGGGGTGTGGGTGCCGGGCCCTCGGGAGCCAACTTAGGGCAGGGGTGCAGGCACCTGGCCCGCAGGAACCAGCTCAGCAGTAGGGGTGCGGGCACCGGGCCCGAGGGAGCCTGCCCAGTGGGCAGAGGTGTGGGCTTCAGTCATAGCAGGTTCAGGTTCCGTCCCCAGCACTGCCGGGAGCGGCCCCCACGCCCTGAGCTGGGAAAAGCGTCTGCGCCTCTAGGAGTAGCCCCAAACTGAAGAAAGTGGAGTTACACAGGGCCGAAGAGGGTCCTGAGGCTCCAGGGTTTGTCTTGCAACAGGCCAGGGTGCTGGTCTGAGTCCCCCAAGCACTGCCTGGCATGGCCCTGAGCACTACAGGGGTGACTCAGAAACTCATGTATGTGTGTGTGTGTGTGTGTGTGTGTGCACGCGTGTCTGTGTGCGTGTGAGTGTGTGTGTGTGCGCACATGTGCCCGTGTGTGCGTGTGCCGGCTCGTGTGTTCCCCCGCAGTCTCCATCAGAATAAGTGAGGCATGGCCCTGGGCCTGTGCTGGGAACCGAGGGCTGGGTGGGGGTGTCGGTGGCCTCCATCTGCCTGCCGACTCCCTTTCAAACGTCAGTAATTCCAAGTGGCTCTTCCGACAGCAGATGAATCTGTCAGCAGCTCCTCTTGGTGGCTGCATGGGGACTCCCGGCCAGTCCAGGCTCGCAGTGTGTGTGTGTTTGTGTGTGTGTGTGTGTGTGTCCAGCTCGCTCTGTATGTGTGTGTGTCTGTCCAGCACCTCTGTGTGTGTGTGTGTGTGTGTGTCTGCTGTATTTCCTGGCTCTTGCCCCCATCTTTGACTTCGGGAAACATTTGGGTTTCTCAGTTTTGTTTTGTTTCATTTTTTTGCCATTGCTTTGCTAAAAAAAAAAAAAAAAGAAAGAAAAATTCAGATCCTTTCTCCATGCCTGGGTCCGAGAAAGTCATTTCTGCAGGTGGCCCTCAAAGGGCCTGATGCTCGCCTTCCTCAGCCCCCTTCTCTTCGCTCTTGCCCCCTGTCCTGAGATCTGGCCGGTGTTGACCTCAGCTCTGTGGGGGTGGGGATGTGGCTTTCCAGCCCTTCCTGCGAGACTGGCCTTGCCGCCTCATCCCTGCTCTCTCCACGCCGCCCCTGCCTCGCCCCTGCTCTGTCCACGCCTGCTTCATCCATGCTGCCCCTGTGCCTTGCCCCTGCTCCTGTTCACACTGCCCCTCTGCCTCACCCCTGCTCCGTCGACGCCGCCCCTGCCTTGCCCCTGCTCCTGTCCATGCCTCCCCTTTGACTCACCCCTGCTTCCGTCCACGCCGCCCTTGTGCCTCACCCCTGCTCTGTCCATGCTGCCCCTCGGGTCCGGGCTCTGACTTGGTGCCCGCTGCCTTTTCCGGCCACTCCCTGGGTGTGGAACACTCGGACCTTGGCATCCTGGAGGCTGTGGCGCAGATTCTGGGAGCTGGTGCTCGTTCCCAGGTCACGAGCGACTGGACGGCCCGGGGCAGGAGCAGAGCCCACTCCAGTGTCAGGCTCAGTGTTGGGGGGTGGGGGGTGGGGCTCTCCTTCCTGGTTTTGGGCTTCCCCTGGGCCTCGTGATCCCTCGCGGGGCCCTTGTGGCCATCCCGCCATGTCCTCTCTCGCAGTACGCCTTCCTGGTGACCGCAGCGGTGCAGCTCGCTGGTGGGATCGTCATCTTCTTTGGGCTCCTGGTGTCCCCGGAAGAGATTGGTGAGCGATGGGGACTGTCCCCTGAGGGCTGTGGGCTGAGTGCTGCCTGAGGCGGGGGAGGGTGCGTGGGTGTGGCTCACACGCTCCCCGCGAGGCGGCAACAGTGGGGACCCTGGCCAGACCCCAGTGTCACCAGTGTGTGGCCGCGTGCGCTAACTCGCCGGCCGTAGCGGCTCCCCAGCTGTCTCGGGCAAAAAAAGTGGCGCGGAGTTGAAGCTGCTTCACTCTGAAGACGGACTGCGGGGCCTGTGTATGGGGCGTGTAGGCCCCCGGACCCCGGGGTCTGACCCGGGATCCCCCAGTGGCGGCCCCTCGTTGAGGGCGCATCCTAAGTGTGGGCGGGGTGTTCCAGAGCTCGCCGAGGAAGACTCGCACCGGCCGCTCATCGGTGGGACGGAGAATGAGGAAGAGGATGAGCGCAGTTACTCCATCCAGGAGGGCGCAGCCGACCCCGCCCCGCCCGCCAAGGCCATCGGCTTCCATCAGGCTTGCTGCCTCCCCGGCGTCATCCCGGTAAGCCGGTTGCACACGTGTGCAGACCCGGGCGTACACACGCGCACGCACACAGCCTCCCCCTCCTGCCCCGACTGTGGGCCTCCCTTCAGCCCCGTCCTCCGCTTCCTGGTCAAGCCTCCTGCGTGCAGTGCTTCACCTCCCTCAGATACATCATTTAAAAAAGCACTGCAGGGGCTGGAGCGATAGCACAGCAGGTAGGGCATTTGCCTTGCACGCAGCCGACCCGGGTTCGATTCCCAGCATCCCATATGGTCCCCCAAGCACTGCCAGGAGCCATTCCTGAGTGCATGAGCCAGGAGTAACCCCTGTGCATCGCCGGGTGTGACCCAAAAAGCAAATAATAATAATAATAATAATAATAATAGTTAATTAATTAAAAAGCACTGTAGCACTGTCCTCCCGTTGTTCATCGATTTTGCTCGAGCGGGCCCAGTAACGTCTCCATTTTGAGACTTGTTGTTACTGTGTTTGGCATATCAAATACGTCACGGGGAGCTTGCCAGGCTTTGCCGTGTGCGCGAGATACTCTCAGTAGCTTTCCAGGCTCTCCGAGAGGGACGGAAGAATCGAACGTGGCTCAGCCGGGCTGGCTGTGCGCAAGGCAAACGCCCTACCGCTGAGCTATTGCTCCAACCCCATTTAAAAAAATGTGATTTTTTTTTTCCAGAGGAAGCGTGTATTGTGCTCCTCAGCTCGCTTCTATCTTGTCACCGCCAAAATGGGAAATCGTATCTGCTCTCCTAAGCATGATAGGGGTCTGCAAACTAGGGTGTGTGTGTGTGTGTGTGTGTGTGTGTGTGTGTTTGCCAGCTAAGGTTTCCAGCTCTCGGGACCCGGGGAGAGGAGGGCCATGGTGCCGTTCAGCCTCTCTGCCCCGACCTTTCAGTTCCTTAGGGCAAAGGAAGGCCCAGATGAAAAATGAGGCTTTGCCTGTTTTGTCCCTGTAGACCCTGACCTTGAAGTGGCAGAAGGTGGCCACGCTGCTGTTTAGGTGGTTTTTTATTTTTTATTTTTTTTGGCTTTTTAGGTCACACCCGGCAATGCTCAGGGGTTTACTCCTGGCTCATGAACTCAGGAATTATTCCTGGCAGTGCTCAGGGGACCCTATGGGATGCCGGGAATCGAACCCAGCTCGGCCGCGTGTAAGAGAAGTGCCGTACCCACTGTGCTATCGCTCCAGCCCCCACGCTGGTATTCAGAGTAGAAGGGGCCCGTTGGAAGGAGTCTAGACACGTATGCACACAGCACGACCGGGGAGCCTGGCCCCCCCAGGGAGAGTCGGGAGAGAGGCAGGAGAGACGCCGTTCCCTATGGGAGTGCGCTGGAGTGCAGGCCCAGAGGCCTGGCTTCTGTTCCCAGCTGCCCCACTGGCCCTGGGGAGCAGTCTGTGTCCAGCTTGCCCTCCCTGGGGGTGGGAGATTTGATGTTGGGACCCCTCCGCCCCCAGGCGTGCTTCAGCCCGGGCCCTTCTGTTCTCTCGTGCCTCCAGGTGAGCACTGACTTAGAATACCAGCACAGCCTGTATCTCAGCCCTCCCCCAAATGACCTGGGTGATGTAAGGAAAGTGGCTGGCCCCTACTTGGGCTACAGGCTGGATTGGTTTTTTTTTTTTTTCTTTTTCAAGCTCATTCACCTGACCCTGAAGGCTTCATTCACCCTTTTTCAAGGTAGTGATTAAAACTTCCCACTGGTAATTAGTTCCCGAGACAGGACTGAACGAGGGCTGCCCAGATGTGGCTCTTCCTTTGCCCGCCGCCAGCCATTGTCCCCTGCCATGGGCAGGGAGGTAAAGGAAGTGGACCTCGGGAATTCCTTTGTCGGTCACAGGCTATCTGGACAAAATGCACTCAGCTCCCGGGATGTGGCCCTCGGGGCAGGGCCGGCTGCTCCTGCCAGGGACGCCGCTGAGCCAACTGGTACCCAGGGAGTTATTGGCCATGCAGGAAAGAGCCTGTCCTGGAGAGACGCCCTTTGAAGTCGGCCCCCGCGTCTCCCCCTCTCTCTTCTTTGATGCTGACCGTCAGGATTTCCTGGGGATGGTGTGGGGGATGTGGGACTCCACCGGCCACCCTCAGCCCCGCCCCAAGTCAGGCCTGAGGGCTGCCGTCTTTCTTTTCTGAGTTAGCGAGCAATTCCCCAGGGAGCCACTGGGTGTGGCCGCACTGACCCCTGGAGGTGGGCGCGTGGGAGCGGCTTTCCTGGGGGGCTTTGCTTGGTCCCAGAAGCTCATTTGGTCAGTTGTTTCCTGTGCTCCTTGGTCGCTGAGCCAGAAGACCAGAGAAGGCTTGGCCACCTCTGATGTTCGGCCAGGGGGAGCCGTGGCGGGGGCCGAGTTTGTTTGCCCTGGTGGCAGCTCTTCTGCATCCCGGAGGCCTTGATCTGGGTCCTACTACAGAAATCAGAAAAAGTGGGGCTGGAGTGATAGCACAGTGGGTAGGGCGTTTGCCTTGCACGCGGCCAGCCCGGGTTCAATTCCCAGCATCCCATATGGTCCCCTGAGCACCGCCAGGAGTAATACCTGAGTGCATGAACCAGGAGTAACCCCTGTGCATAGCCGGTTGTGACCCAAAAAGCAAAAAAAAAAAAAAAAAAGAAATCAGAGAAAGTGCCCTGTCCTGTTGGTTCAAAGCTCTGGTTTGCATCTACAGAAGAATTGAAGGTAGAAAAACCTGGGGACAATTCAGGAATAGTGATAGATGTTGATTGCTTTGGTTTTGGGATACACCCAGCAGTGCTCAGAGCTTAGTCCTGGCTCTGCCCAGGAATCACTCCTGATGGGGCTCAAGGGACCTGTGGGTGCTAGTGATTGAACCCAGGTCGGCTGTGTGCAAGGCAGGCGCCTTATTCGTTGTACTATCGCTCTGGCTCCGTCATGTGTGTTTTGTGTTTGAAAGGCTTCCTGTGTAGTCTTTCCAGAGTGGAAGAAAAGAGTGAGGTTAGCAAAGCCTGGCAAATTGGGATGAGTACAGATGGCTTCCAGGAAGTCCCGGTGTTATTCATCCTGAATGTGTCTTTGGTTTTGCTTTTCATTAAGAAATAATTTTTTTAAGTTTACTTTTCTGTTTTAGGGGCCTGAGCAGTAGTACAGCGGGTAGGGCATTTGCCTGCTTGCCACCAATCCAGGCTCAATCCCCAGCACCCATGTGGTTCCCTGAGCATCCCAGGAGTGATTCCAGAGCCCAGAACCAGGAGTGAGACCTGAACACCGCTGGGTGTGGCCGAAACTTCCTGTACAACCCTTGCACGCTCCTCCTCCCCCAGTTGATTTACTTTTCTTTATTCTTTTTTTTTTTGGGGGGGGGGTCACACCTGGCAATGCACGAGTGTTACTCCTGGCTCTGCACTCAGGAATTACTCCTGGCGGTGCTCAGGGGACCATATGGGATGCTGGGAATCGAACCTAGGTCAGCTGCGTACAAGGCAAACGCGCTACCCACTGTGCTATCTCTCCAGCCCCTCTGCTACAGTATTTTCTCTTTCAAGTGTCGTGCTTTTCAGTTGCGTTCCGAGTCGCAGTGCTGAGTGGCGTGTTTCCTTGCAGTACTCGCTGGCGTACGCCTGCCTGAAGCTGGTGAATTACTCCTTCTTCTTCTGGCTGCCCTTCTACCTGAGCAACAACTTCGGGTGGAAGGAGGCTGAGGCAGACAAGCTGTCCATCTGGTACGACGTGGGCGGGATCATCGGTAAGGCCCGCGAGGCGTCTTCTCTGTGCCGTGAAGAGGGACTCACTCGCCACCTGCTCTGGCTTCTGAAACCTGGCCGGTGGGCCTCGGGGGCTGGAGAGAGCCACGGTGGGCCGAGCGCCTGCTGTGCGTGCGGGGACTCTGGGTTCAGTCCCCGCCACCACATGAATCCCCCCCAACACCACTGGGTTTCTGAGCAGAGCCAGGAGTGCCCCCCAGCACCACCCGGTGCGTCCCCGAAACAGAACGCAGCAAAAGGTTTGCGTCCTTGGTCAGCAGCTATTGGGCTGGAGCTATAGCATCGCTGCTTGCCGTGCCAACTCAGGTTCCAACCCCTGGCATCCTATACGGTCCCCCGAGCACCGCCAGGAGTGACCCCTGAGTGCAGAGCCAGGAGTTAAGCCCTGAGTACTGTCGGGTGTGTCCGAAACAAAAAACAGCAATAACCAAAAAAAAAAACAAGTCCCAGCTCTTTCCCTCAGCAAGCAGCCAAACCCAGAAACCGAGACAGGCCCTGGAGGGCGGTGTGGATTCCTAGGCTCCCCGTGGTCCCGGGGGCACCCTAAATGGGACCATCTTGCTTCCCAGCTGCTGTCTTCACTCTGCAGCCGAGTGGGGGTCAGCAGCTCAGCCTGTGAGTGTCCGCTGTCCGACCCCGCATGTCTGTCAGCCCTGGCCAGAGAAGTGAGACACACAGAATCGCGGAGTACCTGGAGATTCCGTGGCAGGGGTCAGAGCAGTACCAGGGACTCATTTATTTATTTATTTGTTTATTCTTTTGCTTTTTGGGTCACCCCTGGCGATGCACAGGGGATACTCCTGGTTCTGCACTCAGGAATCGTCCCTGGTGGTGCTCAGGACCATATGGGATGCTGGGACTCGAACCTGGGTCGGCCGCGTGCAAGGCAAACGCCCTACCCGTGGTGCTATCGCTCCAGTCCCAGACTCATTTATTTTTGGTGGATGAGTTTGGGGCCGCCCGCGAAGGTGTTTGCCTCCTGATGAGTTGCCCCTCGCGGTACCAGGACTCGAACCTGCATCGGAAGCTTGCGCCCATCCTCTCCTTGAGCTGTCTCTCTGGACCACACCCCCCCTTTTTTTTTTCCATTTTTTTGGGTCATAGTTGGTGATGCTCAGGGCATACTCCTGACCTTGCACTTAGAAGTTCCTCCTGGCAGTGCTGGGGGGGGGGGGGGGGGACCATATAGGATGCTGGAGATCGAACCCGGGTGGGGCAAGCGCTCTCCCCACCGCACTGCCTCTCCAGACCCCAACTGCCCATCCCCCCTCCACCCCTGCACAGGATTCAGGTGAAGGCTTCAGCGGGGTGAGAGGGGCTTCATCGATGGCGGGTGCCCGGGTGTGTTTCGCTTCTTTCGTTTCCCGGGGTCTGATTTCTGGCGTTTTTTGCCTGGCGATGAACAGTTGAGGAACCTTCCCAAAGGGAATTCGTGGAGGAAGGCTGTTTCATTTCTTTTGGGTTGGGGGGGCGGCATGACGACCCAGCAGGGCTCACGTGGGCCTGGGCCCCGCTCCTGGTGGGTCTCAGCCACTGTCATCATTCATCCAGGCCCCAGGTGCTGGCGAACCCGCTTGGTGTCAGGGACCGAACCCCCCCCCCCCCCGCCCGGCCCCGTGGGCAAGTCCTGTGGGGGAGGCCTGGGTGGGCTGACCCTGCGTCCTCTGCGCTGTAGGTGGGATCCTGCAGGGCCTCATCTCCGACCTGCTGCAGAAGCGTGCGCCCGTGCTGGCCCTCAGCCTGCTCCTGGCCATCGGCTCGTTGGTGGGCTACAGCCGTGAGTACCCCTCAGAGTCGCCCTGGACCCGCGGTGGCTACTGAGGGTGGGAGGGGGCTAGGGGGGTGGTGGACAAGTGCCAAAGGCGTTCCATATTCTGGGGGGGCCTGCGGTCAGCCACTCTCATTTGCTGCCCCCCCCCCCCCCAACCTCCCTCTCTGCTGAGCTGGCAGGGCTGCTTTGTGGCCTGGCTCCAGGGGGACCAGCCGCACAGCCAATAAAGCCATAAAAGGGGGCGGGCCCTGCGGTAATTAGTGGGTTCCCAGCCATCCCTCCCACCACCCGCCCTGGGAGTGGGGGCCCTTTCGGCTTCTTAAGGGCTCATTAGCTGGCAGCCAGAGGCAAGGCTGGTGGGGGGGTGGGGGCCACTTCCCTTTGTTGTCTGGGGAGGTCCTGGACCCCTGGCCTGCCCTGAAACCAGGCTTCTTCCTCAGGCTCTCCCAACGACAAGTCCATCAACGCCCTCCTGATGGCCGTGACAGGTATGGGTGGCGCCCCTGGATGCCTCCCAGAGTAGGAGTGGGGGGTGGGAGGTGTTCCGGAGTGTCCTGAAAGCCTTCCTGCTTCTGCCCTGGGCTGGTCAGTCCAGTGACTGCCCTCCCCAGCCCCCCCTCCTCCATGCTCTGTGAACTGGCCAGCTGAGTGGCCCGGAGCATCGTGGCAGGCCTGTGCTGAGGCATTTGAAGTGGGCGCGCGTGGCAGACGTAGTGCCACTGAGGCCGCACCAGGCCTGCTACGTAGTTCCGGCCCCGGGCCTGTCCATGTGCTGGACCACCAGAAGCAAGAACTTCTGCTTCTGGTGTGGCCGAATGGGACCAGTCAGCCCCGTCGCAGAATTGCGCGTGTTCAGCTGGTCTCGCTCTTTTTCACACGGTCTCCTCTGGTTTCTCCTGAACCACAGTCACAATCCGGGGAGACACCAGAACCGTCGGGGGCCGCTTAAAGACGGTCACCTGGGAGCCACCACCCCCGGGGACCGTCCCCCTCCCTTTTTCCGGCCATCCTGGCTCGGCTGCTGGCACAGCCCCTGCCTGCTGATGCCTGGGGGTGGGGGCTGAGGTGGCCTTCGCGCTCGGGGCTTGATGGCTTTCTGTCTTTGTCCCCAGGGTTCTTCATCGGTGGCCCCTCGAACATGATTAGCGCTGCGATCTCTGCGGACCTGGGTCGCCAGGAGCTGGTCCAAGGCAGCAGCGAGGCCCTGGCCACCGTCACGGGCATCGTGGATGGGGCGGGGAGCATGGGTGCCGCCGTGGGCCAGGTGAGTGCGCGGCGCCTGCCTCGGGGCTCCAGCAGGTGGCGCTAGTGCGCCGGCGTGAAGTCCTGGTGGCCCCAGATTCCAGCCTCCTGCAGAGGGTTCCGGCCACACTTACTCTAGCTCCCTTCCGCTGTGACCCCCAGGGCCTTCTTGTTTGCAACGGGGCAACTCACTCCTGCCCTCCCGGTAGGCCCCGAGCGAGTCCTCCCCAGCCCTGCCCACCTGCACAAACTTACACACCTGCCCCTGCCAAGTCCCTGCAGGCTCCAGCCACTCTCTCTGCTGCCTCGGACTCCAGCCAGCCCAGCAGTGTCCAGTGTCCGGCCCCTAGCCGAGCACAGCTGAGCCTGCTGCGGGCTGGCGGTCTTGGTCCTGTGTTTGTTTTCATGGGCCTCTCCTGAGCACTTCTAGGCATACCCCCCCACCCGCCAAAATAAATAAAATGTGTTGTTTGGGGCAGGGGGCAGGCCGGAGTGCGGGCTTGAATGCACGTAGTCTGGAGCCCCAGTGGCCTCCTGGGCCGGGTGGAGCCCAGGGCAGAGTATGGCTGGGAGGGGCCTGGCATCCCCCCTCTCCCCCAACACTGCGCCCCTTGTATGAGTAAAGGAGACCCGCAGCCCGAAAGGCCCGTGGCAGACCTTGTACCCGGCCCCCAGGATGCCCGGCGTGTGCTCTGGCCGGCGCCTCCCCAGCTGAACATTCTGTGCCAATGAGCGTAGCTGCGGGGCACAGATTAGATACCCCCCCCCCCCGCCCCTGTCCTGAAGAATATTGCTGAACAAGAGTGTTTTAAAAATGAACATTTGCATCAGCTGTATGTAGGGAAAACTCGGTGCTTCTCGGGCGGGGGAGGGGGGGCATGCCTGATGCTGTTGCGGGAGTCCTCCCTGGCCTGTGCTCCCTCTGCTCCTGGGAGTGCTTCAGGCACCACGTGCTGGGGATTGAACCTGGGTCCGTGTCCAGCCCGTTGAGTCCTCCCTCTGACCCTTGGTCCCCGGGGTGAAAGATAAGACCCCCCCCCAAGGGACCCGAGGTGCTTCCTCTCCTCTCCACAGCTCAGTGAGTGAGCGGGAACCCTCCGAGGGCACCCCCAGCAGTGCTCTGGGATGACTCCTGGCTCTGTGCTCAGGGTTCAGTCATGGTGGGTATTAAGGGGACCCTGTGGGATGCCGGGGATTGAACCCGTGTCAACCGCACGCAAGGCAAGTGCCTTGCTGCTCTACAGTTGCTCCGGCCCCTCTTGACACCACATTTGTACCTGGGCCTGATCAGCTCCAGAAGGGAAGGTCAGGGCGTGCCTGCGGGAGCACGGTCCAGCGCCACCTCCTCCTCCCTGAGCCCTCAGACGGTGGGGACCCTCCCCCCCACCCCATCAGGTCTGATTTCTTTTTTTCCTTTCTTTCCCTCCTGCAGTGTTTAGTGTCTCTGATCCAGGACAACTTCGGGTGGATGTGGGTTTTCTACTTCTTCATTGTCATGGTAAGTGCGTGCTTTAAAAAAAATCTTTTTTTTTAGATCCGAAGATTCTCTTCTTAATTTAGCTCAAAGCCTGTCCATCAGTCGCTTCTTAAACCAGCAGCAAGGGCCCTTGGGGAAAAGCCACGTTTTGATAAATCTAAGACACCTCCTCCTTTCAGGCAGGAAAGGAAGGGCCCCTCTCTGTAGGCTTAGCCTTTGACCTTTGACTCAGGAGTACCAGTTGGTCAGTGGCCTCTTCCAGAGCATTCTACCTGTTTGGTAGAATGTGGAAATTCTGTCAGCAATTGCATTGGGCACCGAACAAGCCTCCGCCCTGTGGAGGGTGCTAGTGTGTGTCTGTGGCGGGGGGGAGGGTCTGGACCCAGGCCTCGGGGGACAGCTCTGTGGGGGCCAGGGGTGCTTTCTCACTTCCAAAAACGGGGCCTCAGACTCTGCTGCGTGGACCTCCACACCATCTTGCGAAGTCCCTCAGGGAGAGCTTGTGAGGGGATCAAGCAGAAACTGCCGCAGGGACTCACGGGTGCTGAGGCCTGTCTCTGCTTTAACCTCAGCCCCAGGCTGTGTCCACTCTCCCACTCTCCCTCTGACCATTACTTCATTTGGGTAACTTTGCTGTCTCCCCCCCATTTTTTGTCCACCCCACCCCTGGTGATTCTTAGGGGTTACTCCTTTTTTTTTTTTTTTTTTTTTTTTTTTTTTGCTTTTTGGGTCACACCCGCCAATGCACAGGAGTTACTCCTGGTTCATGCACTCAGGAATTACTCCTGGCGGTGCTCGGGGGACCATATGGGATGCTGGGACTCGAACCTGGGTCGGCTGCGTGCAAGGCAAATGCCCTACCCGCTGTGCTATTGCTTCAGCCCCTCAGGGGGTTACTCCTGGTTCGGGGCTCAGGTGCCAGGGCTTGAACCTGGGTCAGCCGGAAGCACGGCGAGTGTCCTACCCACTGGACTACCCGGCCCCTCGTTCTCTGCCTGTGGCGACCGGTGTGTTTCATGAGACTGACTCTTCCCGGAGTCGCTTCCTCGTTCCTCCCTGCCCGACTCCCGCGGCTGGGGCAGAAAACGAATCCCCTTGTCCTCACGGCGCCTGCCTCTCTTTCCTCTTGGCAGATCAGCTGTACGAACCTGTTTATCTCGCCGCTCATCGTGCGGGAGATCCGGCATCTCGTGCAGAGGCAGCAGACGCACGCGCTGAGCGAGTGACCGGCGCTTGCGGGACAAGCGCTGCGAGAGCCCCTCGCCCGGGCCTGGCGTTTCTTGAAAACCCCCCTCGGGGGCTGTCTCTGGAAGCCCCCGGCATCACCAAAGCTCGGGTGTCCCCCCATGGTGCTGAGCAGCCCTGAGGCCGGGCTGTGTTTTTACACTACAGGAATCACTGCTTCTTCTCCTTTGGGATTCTGGGGCCAGAGCCGGTGCCGATCGGGGCACACTCATGGCTCTACACTCGCGGGACCGTGCGTGGTGCCAGGGATTGAACCCGGGCCGGCTGCATGGCAGGCCGGCACCTCCCCCGCCGACTCTACAGGAATCACCGTGGATGATTTGGATTGCCGATGCAGAGCGCGCTGGATACCCTGCGTGCCTGCCCATACTTGGGCTGGTCCTGCTCCTTCCGGTGCCGCTGGGTCTCCAGCCTGGGAGCTGCTGCTGACCAGGAGGTTCCCGTGCCGGGCCAGTGGGGCCTCTGCCAGCGGCAGGCGGCCGTGGTGGACCAGGGACCGAGATGGACTCATCTTGGAGGCTTCCCGTCCACTGGAGCGGCCAGGCCGGAAACAGACATCCCGGGGGGCACGAGACTCTTGATTTCTCTGAACTCTGGCTCACAGGTCCAGGGGCTTGGTGTGGTGTCGGTATCTGTCTCCTGTTGCACCTTAAGTTCTCGGGGGGGGTGGGGGTGTCCCCTGCAGCAGACGGGAGGTGGAGAAAATGGAGACCCCCCTCTTTGCAGACTTTTGACCTGTCACTGCCTCCATCCCGGGGCTGGAGGGCCGGCCAGCATCTCTTCCTGGGATTGTGGACGGCACGTCTCCAGGGAGATGAATTTTGTCTGCTGGCTGTGGACGTTTGAAGGTCGTCCGTGCGGAGGCCTCAGATCCTTCGGCAAGCTGGGAGGAAAGCGCGCGCGGATTCTCTGAAACGGGGTGTGGTCACGGACTCGCTCGCGTGTTAAACTGAGCCCAGCGGATTTCCAATCAGCTGGCTACTGACACAAAGGGAACATAGGAAACAGGAAGAGAAAATAAAGCGGCTTTTGTATCAAGGATGTCCACCTGGTGTTGACATGCATGGACGAGGCTCCTGCCTTCCTGCTTCCGGCTCAGGCACTGATCTAGTGTGCCCTCCCCCGCGCCCCCCCCCCCCCATTTCCGTGATGCTCGCGCGGGGTGGGGTTGGGCCGGGTGATCGAAGAGTCCACCCCAGAGGCCGAAGCGTTTGCCTTGTGTGCGGCTGACCCAGGTTGGATCCCCAGCATTCCATATGGTCCCCCCGAGCACCGCCAGGAGGAATTCCTGAGCCCACAGCCAGGGGCAAACCCTGAGCATCACCAGGTGTGGCCCCCAAACGAAAAACAAAAACATCTGACGCTGTTTTCCAATCCCCGCACATCTTGGTCTCGGCCTTGGTTTCCTCAGCCAGTGCAGGGTGTGGAGCACAAGTGGGCCTGAGCTGAGCCCAGCGTGCAGTCAGGGCCTGGAGGACCCGGGCTCCCTGACCCTGCTTGTGGAAGGAACGGTCCCTGCAGAGTGAAGAGCATGAGCGGCCTGGGCGGGGAAGCCAGGCTACTGCAGCCCAAGCTCAGGGCGGGTGAGACTGAGGGGTTCACCACAGGGCGTGCTCTGGGATGCGCTTCCTGGCGTTGGTGGCCCTGTTTTTGCTGGCCTGGTATGTGGGACAGCTGACTCTGCGCTCAGTCCCGAGTGCAGGTCCTGCGGTGCTGGTGGGCCCGTGGCTCTGCCCTCTGTCCGCCCAGGGGGCTTCATTGGAAGTGCATCCTCTGACATGCAAGGCTGAGAGGTCCGGCCTTTCGGTGTTTGCTGCTCCTCTGCCCCTCCCCTCGCCCCCTCGTCCCTCCTCTTCTTCCTTCTGGGTGACATCTGGCAGTGCTCAGGGGATTGCTCCTGGCTCTGCACTCTGGAGTCAGTCACTCCTGGTGGGCTCCGGGAAACTGGATGTTGGGAATCGACCCTGGGTGGGCCGCGTGCAAGGTAAGTGCCTACTCGCAGTACTCTCTCTAGCACCCCTTCTGCTCTCTTTATGACGGCAGAGTAATACTCCCTTGACTCTGTTTGCAGCTTCCCATCTGTTCTCTCTGCGCGTTTAGGTTGGTTCCCTTCTTGGCTGTTGTGAAGATGCTGTGAACTAGAATCAGGGCCGCACAGAGCCTCTGGGATGTGTGTTTCTGAGTCAGACCACTGCCTCAGAGCGGAGTCTGTGCAGCCGCATCGTCAGGATCCACTCCTGTTCTCCACAGAGAAGGCGGACGCTCGCCTCCGTCTCCGTCTCCCTTCCCACTGCGGTGCTCGGCTCCTTAACATCCGTGGCCTCTTCCACTCGTGGCTGCACCTGGCCGTTTCCCCATGCACATCCCTGCCCAGAACTGTCTGGAGCGCTTGTCCTTGGGCCAGGGGCCGGCTCTGTCAGAGGGAGACCTCACTCCGGACACGCACTGGTTGTCTCTTCATGGCCCCGCCTGCCCTCTGCTGAGAGGAGTCGGCTTTCTCTTCTGTGCTGTTTCAGAGAAGCAGCAAGAATCATCCGAAATGGTTGTCCCAGGTGCTGATGAAAGGGTCGTTCTCTGAGTAATGTGGATTTTAATGGGATAATTGTAAAACGTCCTGGGCTGGAGCGATAGTGGGTAGGGTGTTTGCCTTCCATGCGGCTGACCCGGGTTCGATTCCTCCGCCCCTCTCGGAGAGCCTGGCAAGCTACTAAGAGTATCCCACCTGCACAGCAGAGCCTGGCAAGCTCCTCGTGGCGTGTTCGATATGCCAAAAACAGTAACAAGTCTCATAATGGAGACATTACTGGAGCCCGCTCGAGCAAATCTATGAACAATGGGAGGACAGTGCTATGGTGCTACAGGTTAAACCTCTCATCTGAGGATTTCAAAGGTCTTTCTTTACCTGTTTCATACTCTCAGCTGGCCAGCCAGCCACAGTCCTGTGCAAGTGGGTTTGTTCATTAATTTTTTAAAAGGGGCGAGAGAAGGTGTGTCTGGTTTTAGCACATAAACTTCAGTTGTGCACTTTTTTTTTTCTTTTTGGGTCACACCCGGCGACGCTCAGGGGTTACTCCTGGCTCTGTACTCAGGAATTACTCTTGGCGGTGCCAGGGGACCATGTGGGATGCTGGGAATTGAACCCAGGATGGCCTCATGCAAGGCAAACACCTTACTCGCTGTGCTATTGCTCCAGTCCCCACGTGAGCACCATTTTATCTCTTATTTCTGGGCTACAGCTGGTGGTGCTCACTCCTGGTGGTGCTCGGAAGACTGTCTGTGGTACCGGGGATTATCCTGGGGTTGGCGTCATGCAGGGTGAGTGCCTTAACCTTGGTATTATCTTGCCGTAGTGACTCTGAGGCTTGAGATCGGTCTGTGGTTTTAGAACTATCCTGTCACGCATTTGTCATTTTTATTGAATCACCATAAGATCATGCAAAGCTGTTCATGGTTGGGTTCCTGCACCTGTCCCTATGCCAATGTACGTTTCCCACATCGAGTGTCCCCAGGTTCTCTTCACCCCTGCCTCCGTGGCAGACACTTTTCCTATTTTTTCCCCCTTTTTCACAATCACGACCATCCTGTTATTCGTCGATTGCTTTGAGCAGGCCCCAGTAACGTCTCCTTCGTCCTAGCCCTGAGATTTTTTAAAAAGTGCCATATTCAAGGCTCTTTCAGGGTTAGGAGAATGAGACCCATCATTGTTACTGGTATTTGGCATATTGGGCACGCCACGGGGAGTTTGCCAGACTCTGCCGTGTGGGCAGGTTACATTTGGTAGCCTGCCAGTTTGTCCAAAGTAGGAATGAGATAAGATGTCATAATAAGATGTCGCGCGGCCACAAATGCGGCCGTGCGCTTCCGGGAGCTGGGTTTTATAGTCTCTGAGTCTTGGCCGTTGATGGGATTACACAGCGCCAGGGGGCCAGTTGGTGGGTGTGACCCCTGCCCACTGGAATTTGGAGGATCTGGGTGGAGGATGCTCGGCCCCAATCCGAGCAGGCTTGGAGATCTCAGCCCCGGGACCCGCATGCCTTTGATCCTCTGCCGTTACCTTCATGCGTGGAGAGTGGTCTCAGCATGGTGGTGGCTGGTTCTGGAGGTCTTCGGCTGCCGGAGCCCTGGTCGGGGCAGGGAGGGAAACTCAACCCGCTCCCCTCCAGGGCCCCGGCGAGGAGGGCCAGGCGCGGGGGCAGGAGACTCTGCCCCCTTTTTATTTATTTTTATTTTTTTAATTTTTATTTTACTTTTTTTTTTTTTTTGCTTTTTGGGTCATACCTGGCTATACACAGGGGTTACTTCTAGCTTTGCACTCAGGAATCACTACTGGCGGTGCTCAGGGGACCCTATAGGGTGCTGGGAATCGAACCTGGGTCGGCCGCATGCAAGACAAACACCCTACCCACTGTGCTATCACTCCAGCCCCTTTTTTCCTCCTTTTTAGAAAATAATCTTGATTTTTATTTGCCCCTTCCCCATCCTTGGAGGTTGTGATGTCTGGGGTTCATGCTGTGGGGCCTGCACACATTGGCATGGATTGAGCACTGGGTCCTGGGGATGCCACGGGTTACCCTCAGCAGGTGCCCCCAGAGCAGGGTTCGAGCCCTGGAGCATGTCCTCCTCCCCCCAAGGAGCCACAGGGGCGCTGGAGTCCCCCGGCCACTTCCTCACCCATGGCAGCTGCCATCTGACGCCAGGTCCCCTCTGCCAGAGGTGGAGGCATCTGGGCGCGTGGCCGTTGCTGCCCCTGTCGCATTGTGTCGCGTGCAAGGCCAGTCACCAGCTCTTTCATTCATGTGGGGTGTGGTCTGGCCCTGGGTCTTGTCCACGGTGCGTGCGGCCACCCTTCCAGGAGCCTTCCAGGAGTCTCTGGCCTGGCTATCTCCCGGCCCCTCCAGAGTGGACACGCCCCCGGGCACCTTGGGACAGAGGCTCTCCGAGGCGTCAGCCTGTCCCTTGTCCACCACTTTTGAACTCTGTTGTGTGTGGCCGAGCCCCCAACCAGTGCGCGGCTATTGGGAGTCACGGTGTCTTGACCACGGGTTCAAGGGATTCGGCTGCCCGGCTCGCGGGTCCAGGTGTGCGGGTGTTCTGGGGCACTGCATTCATGTTGTGTGGACGTTTCCCTAGGGGCTGCATCGTGTCATCCTGCTGGCCCTCGGCAGGCTTCCGTGCCCACGGCCTCCCCAGGCTGCTGCTGTTTGATGCAAGTTCCTCCCAGCAATGGGTGGACGTCTCAGCGGGGGCCCCTCCGGCCTCTTATTCTAATGACAAGGGTGCTGTCCTTATTGGCCACTTGTCAGCCTGGGGGAATAGCTGCTTTTTATTTGCTTGGTTGGTTTTCGTTTTGGCTCCACTCCTGACGATGCTCAGGGGTTACTCCTGGGGGTGCTCTGGGGAGCGTCTGCGATGCTGGGAATCAAACCCGGGTCAACTGCATGCAAGGCAAGCGCCCGACCCCCACTGCTGTCCGATCTCTCGGGCGCCTGGAATTAGCATCTTGATCCATTTCAAAACTGGGTGAGGGGGGCTGGAGCGATAGCACAGCGGGTAGGGCGTTTGCCTTACACGCAGCCAACATGGCTGACCCGGGTTCGATTCCCAGCATCCCATATGGTTCCCTGAGCACTGCCAGGAGTAATTCCTGAGTGCATGAGCCAGGAGTAACCCCTGAGCATCGCCGGGTGTGACCCAAAAAGCTAAAAAATAAAAAAAACTGGGTTAGGGTGTGGAGAGAGAGCACAGTGGGGCAAGGTGTTGCCATCCACCTTGTTCCATCCCTGGCACCCCATTCTGCTTCACATCACCCCCAAGGATCAGCCCTGAGCAGCGCTGGCTCCCAAAACACCAGGGCTGGAGAGACGGGACAGCCCTCGGGCTTAGACCTGCCACACAGCCGGCCTGGGTTTGATCCCCAGCGCTCCCGTGGCCCAGGGGATGGGAGACCCTGAGCTTCCCTGACTGGCACCCGAGGAGGCCTGCAGCGCGTGGTGGTGGGTTTGGTGGGGTCCCGGCTAGACTGGCCCAGCTGGCTTGGA